TGGGCACAACGTCGGGCCCACGGTTCGAACCCCCCGAACTCGCAACGTCACGATTGCGAGTCCAGTAGCCTAACCACAAGGCCACAGACAAGTATCATTGCCCCCAGGAGACCCCGGAACACTAGAACACTTAAAAACATTATCGGCTTCCCACGACGTAGTACAGTGCATACAGCCGATTAAAGCGCTCAAACACTAACATTAACAAATTGACAAGACCTCTTGCTGTCTATGGTTGGGTACCATAATTTCACTTGTATGAAATGAGGAAAATTCGTGTAAAGTGCCTTTCCCAAACACACAACGTCAAGCCCCTGACATGACCTCTCTGTTACGGGTCCAGTGGCCTTACCACTTGACCACAGACGCCTCTTAAGTACCGTTCTTCTTCTTCCTTCTTCTTTTCTTCTTCCTCGTTCTCGATGACAGCAGCTAGACCGTCAATCCGATGTCGCGCACAAACTGTGCAGTTCGCTTCAACTCTGAGAGACTGCCAGAGAGCTTTCTCTCAAGGGGAGCCGCATTCTGCCACGTCTGTGTGCGAAGGGTGGCGTAGCGCGGGCAGTGCTGAAGGATATATAAAATACCGTTAGTGCGTCGAAATGCTTCTTCATACTCAAAACTCCTTCTTTCCTATCCAACATCTCTCGTCCTTATTAACCCCCCCCCCCCCTCCTTTTCTTTGTATTACTCTCTATTCTTTGGCACTTATCTGAGTTATTTCTGTCACAAGTGCCGTGAAACTCTAACTATAACTAAACCACAAAGAACGGCACCTATGTGACCTAAAAACTCTTACTAAAGCATAAAACAAACAGACTATAAAATACTGTTACTGTGTCATTGTGCTTCTCCTTACACTAATCCAACCTTTCCACGGCACAAGCTGGGCCTAGGCTTGTTCTTCTGGCTACATTGTAGTGCTTCTTTTTCTGTCGAGTCAGTCGAACAATGCCGTTCAAGTCTGGCTATTGTTTGAGAAATTTTATATCTTTGTTTAACTTCTAGCCCGCCGACGGGCAGAGCAGCTCCCCCCAACCCAATTTCTGCTCTCTCTCTCTCTCTCTCTCTCTCTCTCTCTCTCTCTCTCTCTCTCTCTCTCTCTCTCTCTCTCTCTCTCTCTCTCTCTCTCTCTCTCCTCCTCCTCCTCCTCCTCCTCCTCCTCCTCCTCCTCCTCCTCCTCCTCCTCCTCCTCCTCCCTTCTCTCCCCTCTCTGTCTCCCTCTATGCCCCCGAGCGCGTGCGTGTGTGCGTGCGTGCGTGCAAGCGTGCGCATTTGTGTGTATGTGTGCTAGACATATAATCAGATTTCCGTCCCACCAGAGAGCACACTTATGTCACGGGATTGTGTTTATATAGCGCTTTCGTCTCATTGCAAAGGGGAAGGGCATGTGACCGAACGAGAATGGTTTGGTCACGGTACACTTTAGATCTCATGAACAAAACCTTCTGGAGTGGGTGGTTGGAGGGCGCCCCTGGTAGGTCCTGCTTTTTTGTAGGTCCTGCTTTTTTGTAGGTCCTGCTTCTTTACATGTCCCCCCCCCCCCCCCCCCCCCCCGGTCGTTTCTATTTTATTTTTTTTCTGTAGACCTGCTAAATGACAATTATTGTGTCGGTGTGCTTCTCTTTACTCAAACAAAAATAAAAAAGGGTTAGGTCTCACGAATAGACTTCAGGAGATGGTGGTTGGCGGATGCTCTAGTGTGGTCCTTATTTCTCCTACTTCTTTTTTTTTTTTTTTTTGGTATGTTATGTGTATGTAACATATCGAGTCTTCGGCACATATGACCTATTTGTGTTGCAAGTGCAGTAAAACAATCTAAACAAAATTTAGGGTGGTCGACAGACCCCACTGGTACCTCTCTTTTGTTTTTTGTTTTTCAGGTGTCTGTCTTGGTTGATATTTATATTTATATATATTTACATATATATATATATATATTCCTTGATTGAGTTTTTTTGGGCGGGGGGTTCAGCACTACGCGACTTTTCTTTTGTCGATAATGCTAGTCTTTACTATTAAAAATGGAGAGTAAAAAAAAAAAAACAACCTAAACAGGCAGAAGTAGACCTAATTGTTTGTGGTTGGAGGGTGGCTCTGGCTGGTTTCACTCCTGTACTATTCTGTGGGTTTTTTTCTTTATCTGTCTGGTTTTCCCTCCCAGCCTATTTATTATAGTTTGACTGTGTTGTAACTTTGGTAAATTTGGTACTTTTTTAAGAATGTGAATTGTATTTTTAAACTCTCATCAACACGATTTAGATGTTTAGATACTTTGGGAGATGGATGGGCTGCTTGAACCCTGCCTGTTACAAACAACCTGTGCAGAGAGGGATGCAACTTTCCACCTGACTGGCAGAGATATTTGATTTTCAAAAACTTTCCCCACTCAGGATTCTCTCGTGTTTTCTGTGTTCAACGGTGAAGTGCCTAACCGCTACACTATAGTGTAGATGCTGGTGTGGTACTGTACCCGCCCCCCAAAAAAATTGTTTAAAAAATAATAAAACCACAACAACAGCGAGAACATTCAAACGATCTGAAGTGATTGACTCATGGACAGAGAGCAGATTTTTATGACGGTTGGAATGTCAGCTGTGTTTGTTTCTCCCAAATTTTTGGTTTGTTTGGTTGTTTGTTTGTTTTTTGTTCAGTTGTTAGATCCTTGACACTTCTGTGAAATACCGACATCTGTGGCTTAGCAGTCAGGTGCTTTGTTGTCACAGGCAGAGGATTTCCCCCCCCCCCCCCCCCCCCCCCCCCCGGGGGCAGTGCCACTGACTGTAGTGTCTTTAGGCCATTTCCAAAGGGGGGGAATCTGATCTACAACAGGGAACTGCTGCTTTTTCTTTCCTTAGCCTTACTATTGTCATTTTCCTCTACTTCTTTTGTATGTTTGTCACACTCTTGTGACCTGCTATTTCCGGGGTGCCTTGATAGTCGAAGCAGACCTTGTGCTGTTGAAGCTAGAGAGGTGAGCAGAGTAAGTCTGATTCTCTGTAAAGACTTCTATGTTGACACCCGCCCCTTAACGCTCATATGACCTTATGCAGTTGCGAGCGCCGTAAAACCCTCTACTATAATTTTTTTTTAAACAAAAAAACACTGAGGATGTTAGTTCGGTCCCATGTGGGGAGATCTTTTATCAAGTATGTTCATCTTTTGTTGAATGGGATGTTGTATCCTTCTCCGCCCAGATTGGCCCTAACACTACGAACAGGCAGGGTCAAAGCAGCCTGCTAAGCTTTCAAAATGATTTAAGTTGTATTGCTAGGGGTTTAAAATATGTACAATTACATTTTTAAGAATGGTTGATTGTGGAATTACATTTATTTGGTGGGGAGGGATGCTTTTTGTGTTTTGCCTATTCTTTCCTGGGAAACATTTATTGTCCTTATGTCTCTCCTCCTGCTTTTCTTTGTGTGTTACCCTTCTGGAAATGTGTCAGTCTTCAGCACTAATATGACCTTTGTGTATGACAAGTGTCATACCATATATACACATGAAACTCATACTAAAGCTTTGAAAAAAATTCATTTCATTTGTTTCTTAACTTGGATTTATATTTCTGTTTTTGCACAGTTGTTTGAGAGAGCTAGTGTTATTTTATTTTTTATTTCATTTTGGTTGTTGCACAGTTGTTGAGAGAGCTAATTTTGTTGATTTTTAGATTTTGATATATGTCATGACTTGGTGGAATCAGGCGCTCATCTATTTTTGGGCGAATGGGGTTATCGGTATCATCTTAAAGCCTGTTCATTTGCCTTCTTTTTCGTGAAAAAAAATATCCATCTGGGTTGAATCGTCATCATCATCATTGCCTTTCTCACCCTGCACCAGGGTATAGGCCACGGACAAACACCTTCCAACTTTCTCTATCCTGGGCTAGCCTCTTGATGTTATTCCATGTCTTCCCTCTTTTCTGTACATCGATTTCTGTGATTCTTCTCCAGGTTACACGCGGTCTTCCCCTTGATCTCTTACCCTGTGGGTTCCAATTTAAAACTTTGTGTTGAATAGAAGTCATAATATTTTCAATTGAAGGAGGTCAAGTTAGCTTGGTTTTAGAGGTAAAATTAGCGAGAAAATGGCAGCCAAAGTTTGGTAGCTTCCATAGCCTGAGAGTCCTTGGAAACTGAAAATTTACATTTTTTTGTGCCTTTACTCAATGTTTTTCAGTTTAAAAAATTTGTTTTTAAAGGGACATGAAAGGTGTTGAGCCGAAAGAAAGAAAATCGGAAAAAATTTCCCCCTCTGCCAAAAAAATGCTGATTTCTTTGATTTCCTTGTTTAGACGAGCGCCTGATTTCACCATGATTACTCACAAATACAGTCAGCCACTGGTATCTCAAATTCGTCAGAGATTAGAAACAGTGTTCGAAAGCAAGAAGAATGAAAATGGAAAGCAGAAAATCTCATGTGTGCACAGCCGACTCCTACATCATTCCTTTTCTCTCATTTCGTAGGCTTACAGAAAGTTACGCCTCTTGCCATCCGCACCGCGCATGTTCACCAGCATGATTGCACCTGTGGCGAGCCAGTCATGCGGTGGGGTCAGCATCACTTCCCCATCCCCCCTCCTTCTCCTGTCTCTCTTGGTGAGACAAGGTCCACATTTTGGCTGTAACAGTAACAAAGAAACGCCTACCCGCGGCCTGAAAGACTGTAAAGCCGGGTCTGTAGTTGAGAATGCAAAGTGGATTTGTTCGAGATTCAAGTGTTGCGTGCTCCGAGTGTTCGGGAACTCCGTTAAGTCAGAACAAAGAAAACGTAGGGACTGAAATGGGACTGTGCTGAATGTTCAAGATACCCAAAAATTGGTGATTTTCGTGTTCGAGATTCATGGACTCTACTGTATTTCTGTTTTTGCAGTTGTTGAGAGAGCAACTGTTATTTATATCTAAATTTTGATATAATATATTTCTGTTTTTGCACAGTTGTTGAGACAGCTAATTTTATTTGTTTCTAAATTTGATAGATATGTATTTCTGTCTTTGCAGAGTTGTTGAGAGAGCCTTGTCGGTTGTGTTCAGCGTGAAGCCTCATGGGATCATGATAAGTCTGGGTTCCATCCTCTGTGCGATGTTGTGTGGTCCGGTCTGATGGGGGCAGGAGCGTCAGTCAATGGTCAGAGAAGTCAAGATCAGGTCAGTGAGTGGATGGGTGGTTGGCGGATGCTTTGATGTGGTTTACTCCTTCTTTCCTATCGAACATCTTCTGTTGTCATCTGTCTGCCTTCTTTTCTGTGTATGTTGCTCTCCAGTAACACTTCTAATCTTTGGCTCTTATATGACCTAATTGTATTGCAAGTGCCGTAAAACTCTTTCTTAAACAAAACAAATCAACCCCTTTTCTATAATGAACTATCTAAACGTTGAAACTATACTACAATTGTAGATATTATGAATAATAATTTTTCCATTCCTATAGAGTGAGAGGGGAGGACTCTTTAACCTCAAAAGATGTGCTGTTTACCAACTTGGCTATGAAATAATTGACAATTTAAAGGCAGACCTATGCAGTTGAAAAAACCACATGGGTCACTCATGTGCTGTTTACAGACTTGGCTACTAAATATACTAGAGTCGAAATTATCTAAGACAACAAGCCCTTGCCTAGAAAAAAAATGGTTGTCTTAAACAGATAGACGTCTTGGACAGTTTTTTTATAATATAGAAAAAAATATGAAGCTTAACTTCAAAAGTGGTCATTTTTTACAGGTGGTTCCTGACTGTCTTTGACAGGTGGCTGTTAGAGCAGGTTTTGCAGGAACTGACATTTCAAAGTTTAAAGGCAGATCTATGCCGTCGAAAAAAACAACCCAATATAGATCATTTGTAACACTTCTAAACGTTGGCACTTAAATGACCTAATTAAGTTGCAAGTGCATTAAAACTCTTACTAAAAAACGAACAAATGTATTTCTACATTATTTTTTAAAAACCGAAAAAAATTTCCCTTTGTGACCAGAATCAAGGGAACAGACGGAAGAACCGCTCGGTATCATCCCCTCTCCATAGCAACAACAACAGCAGTGGTGGTGAGTCTTCGGCTCAGAACTCCTCTGCTGACACTGTATCGGAACCGTCAACCATGAAGATGTCTTGTGAGATCTGCTCGGTCACCTTTACGTTTTTCAAGAGAAAGGTAATCTGGTAATGATAATGTTACATGGCATTTATGAAGCGCATGTCCGTTATTTACAATATTAAATGCACTCTACAAGACATTATTATTTAGTAGCCTACAATGGCGTTGAAATACCTGCAGGGTTCACACACTAGGACACATTAAATGACTCAAATATGTATGTGTATATATCAATATATCAAAGTATAAATATTTGTAGAGATATCTAATGTGATCTGTGCCGTATGTTCATTCTTAGGCCACTGTTATTTTGTTGTATGTATATACATTCCTGCTCTGTTCCTGTTGCATTTTTTAAAGACACAAATAGACACAAAAGGCAGCAAGTCTCACATTTTGCATTAGTATGGTGGTGTTTTTACCCTGCCAATAGATAGAAACCGGGAAAAAGTGACTGGGGCAATTAAAGACCTGAGAGGAAAACTGATGCTCCGTTAGCTCAGTTGGTATTGTTTCTGGACTATGGAGTGGATGGCCCTGGTTCTAATCTCCAACCGGGCATTCTTATACTCAGGTGGTTGTGGGGGAGTTGTCAAGGGTCTGAGTGGGTGGTTGGTGGTTGCTCTGATGCGATTTGCTGCTTCTTTACTATCATCTGTTGTTTTCATCTTTCCTCCTTCCTTTTTGTGTTTGTTACTCTCTTGTAACACCTCTGATCTTCAGTACTTATTTGACTTTATTGTGTTGCAAACGCCATTGAACTTACTAAAAAGAACCCCAGAAAAAAAGGCTCTCAACTAATTCGTTTCAGTTATAATAGAAGTGGACGTCACTTTTGGAGGTCCGCCATTTGGATAATCTAAGAGTGTTGAAAGAGGGGTATTAGATTCACACATTATTTTTTTGTTTTTACACTCAGGAAAAGAAAAATGTGGACATAAAAATACTAGAAAGATGCACTGGTCATTGGGGTCATTAATTTTGTACGCTCGTCCTGTGATATAATAGAAAGATACATAGGTCATTAAGGTCATTATTTTTTTCACCCACTAGGTGGTATAGCTAGAGAGGATGCCTCATCGGTCAATTCAGTCATAATAATTTTTTTCCTGCCGTGTCCAGAAATCATGTCAGGAGTGCCACCGGTACTTCTGCTCCAACTGCCTGCCCAAGCCACCGTCCAGCTCCCCGGTCGGCAGGCAGTGCGACAAATGTCGGACTCTGATGTCTGGCCACTTCACCCGGGACGACCTTCAGGGCTGGAAGATCAAGGACATGCGCTGCTTTCTCAATGTTCGCAACATCTCCACGAAGGACTGCCGGGAAAAGCACGACTTGATTGAGCTGATCCTGGCCCACTTCTGTACCAAGCCGAGGCAGTCGATAAACGATCAGGCCAAACATGAAGATCTCGTGAGGCAGATGGCTGTGAGTTGTGTTGTTTTGGGGTTTTTTTTCTATTTTGGGGTTGTTGTTTTTTTGGGTTTGTTTTGTTTTTGCTTTGTTTTTTGTTTTGGTTTTTTTTTGGGGGGGGAGGAGATACCTCATTTGTAGTGTGGACTGCATGACCACAAAACATGTCAATGTGCTTCGTTTTACTCAGACTAACAAAACAGTTATTATTTCATCCCAGATCAGAAGCTAGGTGTTGTGTTTCTGTTGAGTTTTATTTGTATTTTTTACTCTTTTTTTCCTTTTATTTTTTTCCACCACCAGGCTCATGTGAGGGACGTCAATTCCGTGAACAGTTCTTCACTTCCGGGCGAGAACAGCAGCACTCAGCCAACCCACACTGAGCGACCGTCTGCCACTGCCACACAAACAAACAACGTGCCATCATCATCCTCCTCCTCCTCCACCTCTGCACGCGCTCAGCCATCATCATCATCATCGACAACAGCAGCAACAACAACAACAACATCATCCACACCGCCATCATCAACAGCAGTGCCTGGCCCCTCCTCCTCCTCCTCCCACTCCTCCTCGACAGAAGCTGCTGGCAGCCGAGTCACGAGGAATTCACGGGGTGATGCAGCAGAGCCCCCCGGGGGAGAGGAGGGGGGTAGCGGGGGGCGGGCGGAGGAGGTGGTGCTAGACCGGGACCAGCTGAGGGAGCTGCTGGAGGATAAGGATAGAATTCAGAACTTGCTGGCCAGCCACACGGAGGAGGAAGGGGAGGCGGAAACTGTGAGTCATTCCGCTCTTCCTGTTGTTACATATTGGTTTTTATTATTTCGTTGTGATTGTTTGAGGGAAGACCCGGGTCGGCGATCCAAGGCAATATCGATACAATTTTTCAAACTATCCAACTTTTTGTTTTTTTGCGGAAAAACATCCTTTGACATCTGTTCTATCGAGTCAAAATGAAGAAACTAGGCCAGGGCAAGATCGACGGCAAAAAGACTCGAGGCCTCGATTCCAAAACTGAAAAAGAGTCGAGGAATCGACTCCGATTTTCGAG